CCACCATTGGATCCTTCGCCTAGACCTGAAAATATTGAAAAGAAAGGGGTGAGACAATCACAGTCTTAGTAATGAAGAAATATACATTTATTATTACCAAAGTAAGCTATAGTCGAATAAATGAATAAATTAAAAAACATAACATATAATTTAATTATTTAAAGTGCATGAATGCATGACATAGGCCGGTATGACCTTTCTTGACTGACAGAAATGCTCCCTGGCACTCTTTAGCTCGCAGGTAAACTTTATACCCGCTTGTACCCCACAAGTACAAAACCTAATCTAAGGTATGATCGAATCCACCTAAACGCGCTGTGCTCCTTCGATGTGAATCTTGAGCAGCCGAAGCTAACTCCTTCCCAGAGCCAGCCCGACTTACTCTTCATGTGAGGGCTACCTTGGCCTAGATATTTAACCTCACACTTTATATGTCAGATTCCCTCCCCCATTAAGAGTGTCGAATACTCAATCCAGTAACCACTTTAGTGCACTGAGCTCATAAAACGAAAGGCAAAACTGAGTTCTAGCAGTGTGCCATAAAATATCACAAGTACACACCTCTCTATTGGTGAACTCCCACAGACATCATGCCTTTTATTCTTGTCTACCTTTTCTTAGTAGTGACCACTTCAACACTTTAAGGTAGTACAAAACAAATATCACTCTTCCCTTAAGCAGCTCCTTAGCCTATCTAAGGTACCTAACCCAATTACCACTCTTAAGTGCAACTTCTATTCTTTATAATTACAATGCATACAAACAACCTCATTTCTATAAAAACATTATTGCTAAATAAATAGAAAACATATATGCATTATTATCCAATTAGTACCTCATAAATCGTTATAAAATACAATTAATTGCATTTAATCATTTAAAACATGTAATGCATGATAGCTAGTAATATTTATTAAAAAATAGCTAAACAAAGTAATAAGAAATATAGATCCCCTGTTACCTCAACCTTTTATACCAAAAGGATTTTTCCTTGTACAAAAATGAAACTTGGCTATTCTTTATTCTCCAATTAAGTTCCATCAATAATTTCGTACGACATATAAGTGATCCATATCAATTTTCATAGCAAATAGCATTAATGAAGACTATAACTCATACCACACAACTTAGGTCAATGAGCCATAATCTATCCTAATGGTTTTATATATTAAACCAACCATTCATATAGTATCACTTAACCACCAAAATCATTTATTAACCATTGCTAGACCAATTTTCAATTTATATAATTTTTAATCAGTTAAAAACTTTCACTTAGTGTGATCAATTTTATAATTAGCCATTATAATGAAAACCAAAGCTTATTTTAAATCCAATTAACCAAAGGTTATTTTAAATCTTATTGGATTCAAATAGCACAATTACAACCAAATAAATAGGTTTAAAACCATTGAAAAGTGAAATCCAATTTCTTAAGGTTTAAATTTGTGCCCCAAACACCTCTTTTTCGTCCAATTGCCGATTCAAAATATTAGAACATCATGTAGAAACTCAAAATAACCTCTATAGGACCCAAGGAAACTAAAGCTTACAAGAATAAAACTTTTAGGATCAAAATAAAGAATTTCCCTCTTTCAAAAACTCAAGAAAACCAAGAGGGAAGGAAGAGGATTGAAGTAAGGAGTTTACCTATCGTGTAGCTGAGTTTACAACGGCCGCAAAGCCTTCTAGATTCAAGCCTAACTCCCTCTCTTCTCTTCCTCTCTTCTTCCTCTCACTCTCCCGTTTTCTTGCACTTTGTTTCTTTGCTTTCTTTGTTTCATTTCTGCGTATATTGCCCTTTTGAAAAAACTGATCCAAACACTTTGGGGAAGATTACAATGAAGGGCTTAACATTTCTTTATTATAGCATAAAAGCTGGGTCAACTTTGGTAATTTTTTCCATAGTTAAAAATAAAATAAAACCAAACTTTTACAAAGTAAAATTTGAACTCTGGATCTCTATCAATTATTCTTAATTTTAATGTAGTTATAGATATTTTATTTTAAAATAAATTTGAATCTTAAAATATTTGGGATATTACAAAACCCTTGTGATTGTTCAATGAACCTTTGTCGAGTAAAGTGGCTATTTATATTTTCTTTTGTTTTCTATGGACTTTAAGGCATGAATACTTTAGAGCAATTATCATTTGATCTCTAACTTTTCATAGTCTCTTATCAGGTCCTACATACGGCCATATGGTTGGCTGAATGCCTACCCTTTTTGATACTTGTTATCATCACTAGGAATGCAGGGATCATTCTGGGCAAAGCATGGAGGATATTATAGTCCCCATACTTGCACTCATCTTGTAGGTGTATTTTGCAAATGGGTAGGCAGAAGCCTAATATCCAGGGAAAACTATTTTTTCTTTTTTGGAGACTTATTTTCATAGAGTTTGTTTCTATAAAATCACAAAAAGGAATCAAAGTATCTTAAAACAACCAGTAATATTATTCAGAACCAATATATCACTATTTGGGATGTATATTTGAAACTTTTTACTTAATATTTTTAATTCTAATTGGTGTTGGTATATAAATATAAATATCTGTTTAATTATAAATAAATACATGTAGATTAACTGTTTGGGCAAGACTTAGCATATAATGGACGATGAAAACAAATTGGAATATTTAATATTAACATGAAGTCACCCCGCACATTTTTTGGATAGATATTTAAATTAAATTTTAATTTTAATACTATGATAGTAATTGCTTTTTTTTTTGGGAAAAAACTTAGTACTTTGCCTTGTGTACTTATGGAACTTGTTTTCAATCCAATTAGGACGTGTAGTGTTTTAATGCATGATTTACGTACTAACTAACCTTTATAATTAATACTTTTATTTTTTAGATATTTAAAAATCCATGTGTTAGTTTTATTGAAAGCAAGTTATTTAGATATATTAGTTTTCTCCTTTATATATATATATATATATATAAATGATTCAACTTTTGAAATAGATGCCTGAAATTTGAATCAATGATGGAAATATTTTGAGAGAAATTACATGTAGGCTGTAGCTCTATGATAGATTAAATTTTTAAAATATTAACAAAAAAACCTATAATTTGAAAAAAAAAATGATTGCCGTTTAAATGCATGGACAGTAAAACTGCAGTATTCCTGGATTCATATATTGATGTTTTAAATAATACAAGGATCTTTCCATTTTTTTTGGGTAACATATTTTAATTAAGAATAAATTAGGAATAGAATTTAGACTGTGTTTTGATTTATTGAAACTATGTTCAATTTTATCAATTTGTTAGGATTTATAAAATTTAATTATGTTTTAAGATCATAATATTCTAGAGTCTAGATTCTTTGCGGCAAGTAATTTTTTGCATATATTGCTATAATGAAGAAAGGTATTAGGGTTATTTGTGAATGGAAAGTAACAAACATGCCTAAAAGGAAGTTTTATCAAACTAGTACAATATCAACAATGCTACATGGTGGTGAATGTTAAGCAGCAAGGGGTTATTTGTGAGCGGAAAGTAACGAACATGCTTAAAAGGAAGTTTTATCAAACTAGTACAATGTCAATAATGCTACATGGTAGTGAATGTTAAGCAATAAGGGGAAAAAGAACAAAAAGTTTGGTTAGCAAAAATGGTGATGTTGAGATAGATGTGTGGTCATACAAAAAAAGATAAGATCCATGATGATCATAGATGAGAAAAAGTTGGGGTGGCCTCTATTGAGGAGAAAATAGTAGGAAACTATTATTTAAGGTGGTTTGAGCATGTACAAAGAAATCCAATAGAGGTGTTGGTGAGGAGGGTTGAAATGATGATCTTGAGTCTTTTGAAGAGAAGTAAAGAGAGACTAAGAAGAACACTCAAGAAAGTTATTAAATAGAACCTTTTGGTGAACAATTTATTCAAAGAATTAACACAATGATGTAATTTGACCTATGTAGACAACTTCATTGATGTGTAATTTAGAATTAAATGAAGAAAGTTAGTTACTTAGTGACTATTAGAGGGATAAAGATAAGCCAAGTTAGCATCTATATATAGGGAGGATGTATAAACTTCAGCCTTTGTTTAATGATCAATATTTTCTAGAATTCTCTCTTATCTCTCTATTTCTCTATTCTTTATCCTATCTCTCCTTTCATCTCTTATCCTTACATTGTTCCTATTCGTCCTTTTCCTACTCATCAGTGGTATCAACAACCTTAGCCTCCCTTCATGCTTGGAACTCGATCCTATAATAGCCAAAGTTTAATGGCAGAGCAGTATGATGATCGTTTGTGCAATTGAAGAAGAATTAAGAAAGATTGCATCTTCACACTGTGTTATTCAAGCCTTATTTGCTCTAGTGGCTCTTGGACGAGAAGCGAGCACTACATCAGGCTTGTTTATTCAACTTGCTTATAGACAACAAAGTGCAAGCCAAATGAGGAACATGAGGCACTGAATCCAAATGAAAAATGAAAGAATTTAGAAATAACAATGCTTCCCTTGCTAGCAATAGAAAAAGTTTCATTTGCAGTATCTATTTCTCACGCCTACTACATGGACAATATGATGTGAATAATTTGGAGTCCATAGTCCTATGATCTGAGTCCCAGAGTCAACAATCCACTTAGATTTATTTGAATAGGTATTTACTTCATAGTGACCGTTACCTTGCTTGGCTACTAGGGTAGTGTGGGATGGTTGGGATGTTTGGCTAGATTATTGTAAGGCATTGAGCATCTCCAGTAGCTTAAATTAACTAGTCCTTATCAATTGTAGACATGGACCCAAATTTGTCTTCTGCAAGCTCAGAAGTGGCTTGATACCCACAATCCTTGCCTTTCTGTGGTTTCAAGTTCATAGGTTTACCATGTAGGTCCCAACAATTGTCCTTTGAATGACTTGTCTTTTTGCAATGATCACATAAGACATGAGACTCTCCCCTTAGTGTCCTTTTGTCCTTAATTAGAGTTCTTGCTTACCAAGGTAGAAGATTCAGATAGAGGAGGTATAAGGATAGAGTCAACTAACATCACCTTTTGACGAGAAGCTTCTCTCCAAACTTATGCATGCATCATTAGCTAAGAACTGAAACACCTATTCATCCTCAATTCATGTTTTGTATGTTGCTGCATCATGGGAACAAGACCACTCTTCCTTTGTGTTGAGGTCAATTTCTTGCCATATTGGAACGAGTTCCAAATAGAATTTAGTGAGCTCTCGTTACTCTTGTTTGATTTGCTGATTTTATGTCTTGGAATCATTTATTCAAACAGCATCTTCACCATCCGAGTACGAGTCTTTAACAGTTTCTTGGATATCTAGTGCTGTTGGTAAAAACATAAATGATTGCTGAATCTATGGAGTCATGACATTGACTAACCATGAGGCCATCATCAAGTTTTCGATCTCCCACTTCACCATAGCGGTCATGTCTAATTTGTTTGGGTTCTTGGAGTTTTCGGTGATGAAACCTAGTTTGCCTCACTCACCAATCACAAGTTGAATTGCCTAAGCCCATTCATGATAATTATTGCCCTTGAACTTATTTGACACGAGGGGAACGGATGACCCCTTGGCAAAACTCAACCCATCGAGTAAGTTGTTGGATTGCTTGATTTTGACTCTCCCTTCAATGGTCTGCTATTGTTCTTGGTTTTAATGTTAGAATTGACATGCTTTGATACCATATGATAATTGAATTTGAATATTTCATTTTATTGTTCACAAGATTAGGGATATATACATGGTATAGTGAAACAGGGAAATAAAAGAAAATGATTACAAATAATAATTCCCCTTATCCTATCTAATTTAATCCCTACAAATTAAGAGAAAATCTCTCACTACTAATGATTTGTTTGACTATTCTCACAATTAGTGTCCTATAACACTAATTCAGTTATTTTGAGCATTAATATCAAAACCTCAATATTTTCCCCATCTCATTTATTTATACTATCAAAATCTTGTCCTTTTATTCAATATTAAGCAATATTCCATCATATTGATAGAGATTTGATAGTATAGGATATCAAATACTACCTTGAGTAATATGGGATGCTTGATGGGGTATTTAAGTAGGTTAGTTTTCTCACTTTAATAACTAACTTTGGGGGTAGGGTTTCCCATCCCAATTAGGTACCCCATCAATTGGTACTAACGATTGGTTGTTGATGGTTCTGGAGAGGGCGACCCACAAAGGGTTTTGGCCAGCTGGGGGTTAAGTGCTATGGAGTGCAATCATTGGGACATTGGCTCTCCATGGGGAGCCAATTGATGGAGACTTGATAGTGTAGGATACAATGTCCTATATTGAGTAGCCTAGGGTAGAGGGATGATGGAAAAAATGTGGACTGATGTAATTGTGAGTGTGACTTTTTTAACAACTAGTATAAAAAATAGGCAAATTATAGGCAAAGATTTGGGAGATTAATTCAAGTTTAGGTAGGTCAAGGTCATCATAAAACTCAGAAAAATATCTTTAGCATCATGATGCAATAGAGGAAGTCATTAAATGACAGTCTCATAATATCTTTGTGAAATCTTTCACTTGCCCATCAAATTGTCACAATGATTGTATTGAAGGTTTTGAAGAGGAGCAGCAGTAGGCGGTAATAACAAGCTTTATCCTAAAGATTTTGAAGAGTAGTTTGAAGTAAATTGAAGACATGAAGACCATTAAAATTCTAAACAATACTTTGAAGTAAAACCTCAATTTGCAAAATGTCACATTCAGATTCAACCAACCAAGCTGTTATACCTGGTCAACTATGTTATTCTGGATCTATTGGAGAGCTGGAAGTTGTTTTGGTTATCATTAGTTGTAGAAGTGCCCTTTGTCTTACCAAGCACTTCAAGATGAATTATTCAAGTACTATAAAACTCTTGAAAGAGTTTTTTTCCACTAGTTAAGAGTGATGAAGACCAAGATGAAAATACTAGGGGAAATGAAATTGTGGAAAACTCATTCTAGGCTTAGGATATTCAAGATATTTATTAAGTGAGTTTTGGAATTTTATTTGAAAGTTTATATATTTGATTGGTTTATTTATTTTCTTATTATTGGCTCCCTATAAACAACTTTCTCATTAGTTGTCTCTACTTATGAACAATTTTGTTTTTCCATGTAGCTTAGGTCATTGGCTCTTCCATTTACTGTGTTGGAGTGGACTCTTCCAACAGTTCCTCGTCCTGTTCAAAATGCATCTACTAGGCAATCGTCCTCATCTTCTAAGGAGCAAAAAGTAGATGAGACATCCCTCCCGACAAAGTTGCCCTCATCAGATTCAAGTTAGTCATTTAGTGAACTTAAATATTCTTAGAAAAGAAACTAGTCTAGATTTAATGGCTCCATTTTTAATTAAAGAATTAAATATGGTTTTGGCTAATGCTAATTTCTTTGGATAGAGGATTCGGGCACAGAGGGACATCATGATGACACTTCTGAGAGTTTTGCGTTTGCCTTGGTGAATGGAGCACTTGGAGTTTTTGAAGTTCAAGGACGAAGGATTCGAGATTTCAGGTATATCCTCTTTTGTTTGACTGAAAGAGCGTTGTGCTTGTGCTGTTTTTCATTATACATGGATTGTTAAATTTGTAATGGTCATGTCTAAGACCTTGCAAGGTACATGTATTTGGTTAGTCTACTTTTTGTTGTTATATGCTATCAAGCTGTTTTTAATGAGTCCTGAATATCTTAAATATTTGGTTTTTCTAGATAATTTACAATCCATTAAAAAGTTTAGAGGAGTAATGAAAAAGTATCGATGCAAAGATAAATATTTATATATGGTTTTAATTGAATTGAAAAAAGCTTATGATCAGATACTAAGAGAAATACTTTGGAAAATCTTGAAAAAGAAAGGAATCCAAGTTGTCTATATTAGAGTTATACAAGATATGTATAAGGGGGTAACAACTAATATAAGAACATTTGGTGGTGAAACAAAGGACTTTCCTAGAAGGATTGAACTACATTAGGGATCATTTCTGAGTCTTATTTGTTTGACCTAGTTCTAGATGTTTTGACTGAGTATATTTAAGAAGAAATCCCCAAATGTATGCTTTTTGCAGATAATATGTGGATCAAGTGGTAGCACACTTAGCAATTTAAACTAGATTAACTAACTATATAGTATAGTGGCAACCTAGGTTATCTCCTAAAGATGTGTTTAAAGATTAAATTTAGAGCTTCTTAATGCAATTAAATTAAAATAAAAATCCCAATAGTTGATTGATTTTAATTGATTTAAATTAAATTTTATCGCACTGCTATCAAAACGGCAATGTTATATGGTAGTGAATGCTGGGTTCTAACGGGACAGCAAGAGCATAAAGTTGGAGTAGCAAAGATGAGAATGTTACGATGGATGTGCGGACATACACGTAAAGATAAAATTCAAAATGAGCACATACGCGAAAAAGTGAGGGTGGCACCTATTGAGGAAAAAATGGTAGAAAATCGGTTGAGATGGTTTGGGCATGTACAAAGAAGACCAAGGGAGGCACCAGTGAGAAGAGTAGAGCATATAACTTTGAGTCCGATTAAGAGAGGCAGAGGAAGGCATAAGAGAACACTCTTGGAAGTTATTGAATGCGATCTCTTAATTAATAATATTCCTAAAAGCTTGATAAACGATAGAGCACAATGGCGTCTTGCAATCCATGTAGCCGACCCCACCTAGTGGGATAAAGGCTTGTTGTTGTTGTTGTTGTTTAAATTAAATATTAATTAACCTAATTAAAGCCTAAAAACCTAAGCTAATGAGTTTATGAAAATGGGATGGAATAAGGTACTTGAAATTGGATTAATGCTCAAATTCTAACTACTTATGAAATGTAAATTAGTCACCCTTGATTCTTCTCTTCCTAACCAAATTATGAAGCTGCTAGGATAATTCTTTCTAGCAACTTAACTTCATTAGGAACCCTAATTAAGTCCAGGATTCAAGAGCCCAATTCAACTCCCTAATTTAGTTTTAGGCCCAAGTTAGGCTTTTTAATGGCAAATTCACTAGGGACCGCTTGGTTCAATTTTTGGCTCCGTTATTGGGGAGGTTATTTTGGATTGAATTTTTGTGTTTCTTAGTGCTTCACTTTCTTTTTTATCTCTGCCATCTTACTTCCGTATCATCACATTTGCATCGCTTCATTCTTTCTCACCATTTTCATTCATTTCCACGCACCTTCACTTTGTTTTCCCTATTTTGAATCTTTTTGAGTTTTGTTGTGTTTTAGTCAATTTGAGTCATTTTGCTATGATTTTTGGTTTTTAGAGTCCTCTATTATTTTTAGGTAATTTTTGTGTACATTTTTGAAGTCAAAAACTTGCAAAAATAGTTTCATTTTGGTTGTCATGAAATTTCATTGTTGCTGGAATTTTTTCAAATTTTTCCCAGAAAATCCAAAAACTTATGTATTTCGAGTTTCTTAGGGTCATTGAGCATTTTTAAGCTTTAGTTATTAGATTTGGGCAAATTTGGCCAAATTCGATCATCTTCAGTGACTTTTCAATTTTTTAGTATTGTTGTGATTTTCGATTATTTGTTGCGTGTCTTTGTTTTGAGTATTTTGCTTGGATTGGGGCTGTCCAAAGGTGAGGATGAGAATCCACCCCATAATCATAATCATGTACATGAGGGCAGGGCTAACAGTGAGAGGATTGGTGAGAATTTTATGGATAATGGGAATACTGGTGGGTTAAATAATGAAGAGAGGTCAATTAGGGTTACACAACCACATTGGGATGAAAATCCCTATGGTTTGTATGTAGCTCTTCATGGTTTAGATTTTGAACTTAAACCCTCTTTCTTAAATACCCTACCTAAGTTTCATGGCCTTCCTAGTGAAGATTGCCATAGATTACTCTCATCTTACTTCCATGTGTGCAATAATATGAAACCCCCTCATGTTAGAGTAGAAGAAGTTCAAGCCAAGGATTTGTTTTCACTCTTGAGAGCAATGCCAAGGAATGATGCTTTAACTACCCTTCTTATATTAGAGTTCATACTTGGGCTGAATTGAGACGTTTGTTTCTTGAAAAGTTCTCCCCCAATTCTAAATTTTCAAGGTTTAAGAAAAAAATTTATAGTGTTTTGCAAGGGGAGGATGGGACATTATATGAGTTTTGGAACTGAATTCAAGGGGTTTTTGGCTAAATGCTCTCAACATGGTATTACAAGTAAAAATTTGATCAAGTACTTTTATGATGGGGTTGTCTCATAGATTTAAGTGCTTTGAAAGCTTGGGAGCTATTAGAGGAGATGGCCATAAGTAGTGGAGAGTACTCAAATAGGGAAAGGAGACCTATGTATGGGGAGAGCATTGTGTTGAGTGAAGTCATCTTGACTTGCTTGCTTTGAAACTTGAAAAATTGCTGGTACCCTCTAATTCCAATTTGAATGTATCATCCCATAACCGTGTTAGTATTGTGCATGTTTCACAAGCTCTTGTGTCTTTTGCATCTCAAGGCCAAGTGAGTCAAGAATAACACCCATATTAATGTCACTAAAAGGGAAACAATTAAACTTCTCACAAAAGGAATAAGTATACCCATCAATGCAAAAATAAGGCAATGAAAGAGATGCATGAGGATAAGAGTTAAGAGGCAACGCATTCTTTGAAACATCTAAAGCATCTTCAATAACAATTTTAATAGCATTCACACCTAAGAGGGAGTAGTCCTCATAGGGACGCTTCATAGCGTCATAAATATTAAAAGTAACAAAATCTCTACCACACCTCAAGGTAAGTTTACCTTATTCCATATCAATCAAAGTGTGGGCAGTGGTCATAAAAGGTCTATCAGGTATCAAAATATCCTCCCCACTACTCTCTTTAGACATATCAAGCACATAGAAATCAGCAAGGAAAGGCATATTTTTAACACAAACCAAAACATCCTCAACTTTTTCATGTAGATGCCTTAGTGTCCTATCAGCTAATTGGCAAATCATTTTTGTAGAGTGCATGCAATTCAAACCCAGGGTTTTATAAATGGATAAAGGCATAACATTAATAGCAATATTCAAGTCAATCAAAGCATATGAAAATTGCAATTCACCAATTTTGCAAGGAATTGTAAATGACCCTAGATCTTCACATTTAATTAGCAATTGAGGTTTCATTATGGCACTAATAGAAGAAGAAAGTTGCACCATAGCATTTTGAGTAAATTTCCTCTTATTAGTACAACAATCTTCAAAAACTTAGCATATTTAAGCACATTTTTCACCAAATCAAGCAAAGGTACATTTACATGAATTTTATTAAAGAGCTCTTATACCTCACTATCTTGTCCCTTTTCTTTCCTTAGCATCCTTATTGCTTGAGGAAAAGGCAATCTCTTTATCAACTCAAGGCGTAACCTCATTAGGCTCATCCTCATCAGGCTCTATCTCTTTAAAAGGCAATCTCTTGAAACTTTACCATTAGGCTCATCCTAAATGAGAATATTCTCATTTGTTTCATCAAATAATCTGATTATTCTCTCCCTTTTCAGTCCTAAAAGTGACACCACTAATGCTTAATTTAGCCCTCTTCCATGATTCTTGACCAATTGCGAAAGTCCAAGTTCATATGTGCCACTTAAGTCACAAAATAAGCATAAAATCAAAGTCAAATATTCATGTGACCTAATAATTAAATTCTTGTACATGGAATTAATTAATTAGCATGGGAGAATATCAATGAAGTAAAATTCAAGGGTAGTAACACGTGAAAACTCATGCATGCACATAAAACTTTAATTCGGTCAATAAAGTCAACAACCCTGAAATGTGATTTTTATTTTATAACTCCCAAACCAAATTGAATTTTGAAAAACTAATTTCTTATTTGTTTTTTTGGGTATAAAACACATGGAACACAACATTAACCCAATTTTTCATAAAAAATGCAATTTTGAACCAAAATATCTCTAGTGCAAAATTTTGCCCCTTAGGCAATTTTCTTGCTTTTGATACCATAAATGCACCAAAGTGGGGAATAAAATGTGAAAAATGGATCCTAAATAAATTAATAAAGTGTGTATAACTCCGCCTATGTTTATAGCCGGTCCCAAGCCCGGGTAAAGGAGGAGGGTTGTGTTAGGCCATCAACAGCCAATGTAAAAATTTGTTGAATCTATCATGAACATGGACAATAGACGTTATAATGTTAATGCTAGGTCGTTGCCCGTAAGTAACGCGCTGCATGGCTCGAGTACAGTGATAAGTGAGTTAGAGCTGCTGCATCGGCGCCCGGATGTAGTGTTAAATGAGCAAGGGCTACCGCGTCATTCTGGACGCACGCGGCTAAAGAAGTTAGTCCATAAGAGCAAAATTAGATTTGGTACTTGGAATGTTGGGACATTAAATTGTAAATCTGTAGAGGTTGTAGGGGTTATGATTCAAAGGAAAATCAATATCATTTGCTTGCAAGAAACAAAATGGCGTGGAGAAGAAGCTAAGGATATTCAAGGTTTCAAACTTTGGTATGCAGGAAAAGTAAGTGCACGCAATGGAGTAGGCATCATTATAGATA